GAGCCCTGTGTTTGCTCCTGCCCTCTCTGACTGCAGCAGAGTCCCCCTCCTTCCTTGAATATCAATTGGATATTCAACCAGATTTTTTTCCCAGTAGAGAAAAAGCAAAAAGCAGGGTGGGAAAGGCTACAACTGGGGCAGGGGGGGATAAGCAGCCCAAATTCTCTCTTAGACAACTTTCCTGCCCAAAGCCAGGACCCGAGGCAGGCAGCACGTGTCTCAGCACTCGCCCTGCATCAGACCGAAGGTTGCCCGCAGGCAACTAGCTGGGGATGGTCCTTCGTAGCCTGGAGGGAACTGGGCTGGATCCTTCTGCCAGACCCGCCACCATCAGCTCCTACTAGAGACTGGTGCCTAAATCCCACCTGCATTTCCAAGAGGCTGCAAAGATCCACTCGCTCCCCCCAGTGCTAGAGCAGTGGCTCTCAACCTTTTTGGCTCCAGGCAGCCCGCCTTAGGCTCATGACCCCCCCTTAGAAAACACCAGTTCTTTGTTTTCACTCGGTTTTTGACTACAGGAAACAAATGGAGAAAGTCTTGTGCTGCAAAGAGCTCAGAGAGGCCACAGCGGGTAGGCATGCTTTTAACCCCAAGGACTCCTATGTGAAATCGCCGGGTTTATTTGCAAGTCGTGTCTGCACACCCAGCGGGGCCGACCCCGCGTGGCACCCATGGAAGGATCTCAAGGTTGTGAATCACTGCGCCAGAGGCTGCCGGGGGGGGACGTGGAAACCATTTATAACGCCCTGGGGACAGAGGCATGCGCTGCCTCTGCTCCCTGCCTCGTGCCGCCAGGGCAGCTAAATCAGCGCCAGCCCTTCCAGGGGAAAGAGGACTCCAAAGAGCCTCTTGCCCAGTCCTTCCCGAGCCCCCAGACCAGCCTGTCCTGGGCACCCCAGGCTTCATCTCCCTACTCTCTGCAAAAAGACCAAAAGAAGTAAGCTAAACTTTTTTTTTTGTTTATCCCCCCAAGGAAAAGTAAGCTAAACCTAAAGAAAGCCCCTTCCCTGTGCTCAGCAGCTCTTTGCAAGAATCGCTACCCCTGTCCCCTCTGGGACTTGGCAGTGCCTTTGTGGGTCTCCTTCCAGCCTAGATCACAAAACCTCCCCTCCCCACCTGTAACATCTACACCAGGGCTTGCCGCATCCCTGCTTATATGCTGCTCCCAGCATGCTCTGCTGCCACAGCCAGCCAATCCCATTTGTCCCAGCATGCCTTGGGGCTGTGTTTATAAAGGTGAGTCTGCAGTGCCTGGCTGGTGCGTTGATTTGCATGAGCCCATGCTGTGCAGCAAGCAGAGGTCAGGATGCAAGGGCTCAGCCCTGCCGGTCTCTGTGCCTGGGCATGCCCTATGCAAAGGCTTGTGCAGGGTTGGGGTCCATGCAGCAGGCCAGGTCCCCCCCAGGCTCATGCCTCCCCCTTGCTTTGTTGGCAGGGTGAAGCCGTGGGTCAATCTCCTGGCTGACAGCGATGCAGAGTCCTCCAGTGCTGGCTCCTCAGACGAGGAGGACGTCCCTGCAGCAGAGCCCTCTGGCGCTCTGGGAGAGAGGATCGTGCCCCCCACCGCTGAAGGGTAAAGCAGGGGAGAGTGACCTTGCCTTGGGGTGGGGTGTCTGCCAGGGGCCATCAGCATCACCACAGCTGGGGGGGGATGGATGCACTGCTGAGTCCAAAGGTGAGCTGCAGCCTCTCTCATGAGGATGCTAAAGAAATCTAGCAATGGGAGTGGCTGTGGGCTGGGTCATGCATGCACTTGAGTGCATCTCACCCCTCCTGCCCTCCCCATCTGGGTGGCCCTAAGCATCTCTGTCACCTGTCCCTGCTGGCTACTGCTGGTATGTTGGACCCCCCTGGGAAGGGCTAGCAAAGGGGCTCTCCAAGCAGCAGTGCAGGGAAGGTTGCATGAGGTGGGGTCTCCACTTGGTCCCCTGCCTTAGCACGGCTCCATCCTGCAGGCCGACAGCCCACCCTTCCCTGCCGCTGGGCCACGTCGGGGGCAACAGCACCAGCCGCAAGATCCTGCGCTTCGTGGACAAGATCGCCAAGTCCAAGTACTTCCAGAAAGCCACCGAGAACGAGTTCATCAAAAAGAAGATCGAGGAGGTGTCCAACACCCCGCTGCTGCTGACGGTGGAGGTCCAGGAGCTGTCGGGGACCCTGGCTGTAAATGTCCCTCCACCCCCAACGGACCGGATCTGGTAGGAGAGCCCGGGTCCCCACCTGCACCGCGCACCCCAGCTCTTCCAGCCCAGTGCTTAGCAGGGCACGGACAAGGGGCAGGGGCCTGAGATGCTGGGGACCCCAGGTGGGCACAAACCCTTCTCCCAGTTCAGAGAAGAGATGCATCGGGGATAAGGGAAAATGCCTAGCCCTTCTCCAGTGTAGGCTCTGTGTTCAAATCTCCAGCTGGCTAATAGCTGAGGCTCTTGCTACTTGGCGGTGGCTGGGAGGCCCCAGCTGCCAGCGCACAAGTGGCTACACCTCCCATCAGGGGAGAGGCCCCGGCTTATTCCTTAATATCAGGACGATACTAAGGAGTGCTAGCAATGAAAGCTGTGGGCATGGGCGTGCGCGTACTTCAGCGCATCTCACCCCTCCCACCACCTCCGGGACACGGCCCGGCTTGTAACGGTGTCTCGCCCCTCCAGGTACAGCTTCCGGCTCCCGCCCCAGCTGGAGATGCGAGTCCGCCCCAAGCTGGGGGAGCGGGAAGTCACCTTCATCCACGTCACGGAGTGGATCGAGAAGAAGCTGCAGCACGAGTTCCAGGTACGCCGGGGCGGGGGCAGCTGGGCTCTGGTCCCCCCGGAAGGGGCTCCCAGCCCAGGAGTTTGGCTGGGGCGGTGTGGGGGGGGTGACACCTGCAGAGCCTCTCCGGAGCCGGATGCTACGGAGCCCCACGTGGCCACGACCGGGCCACCTTGGGAAGCCAAGAAACCTGGAGCGGTCTCCAGTGCCAGGCGCCTGTGGCACAGCAGGGCCTGCCGGAGGCCGTCCGACGCGCTTCCTTGGTTCAAACAACGATTCTTAGGTCTGTCTCGCTTCCCCCCACAGAAAATCTTGGTGATGCCAAACATGGATGACCTCATTGTGCCCATCATGCATGCTGGGATGGACCCCCAGCCGCCCGCCACGGGGCCCTGAGAGGCCTGGCTTGCGAACAGCAAGACGACGGACTCCAAAGGTGGATTTGGAGCCCGAATGCTGTAGAGGACTGTGGGGCATTCGCTGACGGGCCCCGCTAAGCTGGGCTGGGAACTGCCTGCCTGCCAGAGCCGGGCACCAGCCTGGATCTTCTTGGTTCATCCCTTCATCTTGTTTCCAGCATGCCTCGCCCTGGCTATGGGACCTCTCCTTTTAACTATCCTCAGTGCAGCAAGAGCAGAAGCCTTCTCACCCGGCAAGGGAGCAGAGGGGAGACCCTGAGCAGCCAGGAGAGGAAGTCTCCTCCTCTCCTCCGGGGTCCCTGTGGATTCCTACACCAGCCCCAGGCCAGGTGGGAAAGGGCCGTGGCTGCAGGACAGGCTCGGCACGGTCTGAAACAGGAGCTCCAAGCCACCAGGACCCGAGTCGGCACCGGCCTTGGCACGGAGCACCCGAGTCTGTCGGGAACATTGCAAGCAGGAAAGAAGTGGAAACAAAACCCCTCCCTCGCCTCCTCCCAATACCCAGTAGCTGTGACTGGTCCCTGGCCCCCTGCAGAGTGGGGCTGAGTATTATGCCCTGCTGGAAGAGAGCATGTGGGTGTGAAAGGCTGTCTGCATCTGTCTGGGGTACACGTCCCCTGTCTGGGAACATGCCGGTAGTCCCCCTGCCCTAGAATGGAGCCCTAGGAAGCTGCCCTGCCAGTCTCCTCCTTCCGGTGGGTCCCTTGGCTCTGGACATTTTTCCTGGGGTCGTGCACGCAAACCTCCTGCCGCATGGCACATGTCAGGGCTGGGCAGAGGCAGGAGCATCCGACTGTGAGCCCGGGGGCAGCAGGCAGCAAGGAGCGGGATGGTTGCCTCCTCCGTACAAGAATGGCATTAGCTTCTGGCCAGGGACGTCCCCAAGCTGCGTGCAATCCAAGGGCTTTGCAAACCTCATGGGTGTGCTGGGGCTGAGCAGGGTGGCTGGCACGGCCAAATAAAGGTTTGCATCAATCCACCGGCCTGGACGTGGTCCTTGGTCTTTGCCAGCTGTCTTCTTCACACCTCCTGCCTGTGCTGCAGTTACAGGAGCACGGGGGGGGGGTCTCCTGAGCCCACAAGTCCTGTCCCTGCATTCGCAGGCCAGTGGTAGCCCCCAGATTTCCCCCCTTTGCCCCCCTCTGCACACCTACAAAACACAGAACAGCAAGAGCCCATACGCTAGGCTCCAGGTAAGAGCAGGGAGACCTCATTCCTCTTGCTGTGCTGGGGGCCCAGCACCCAGAGCTCAGGCAGCATCGTGGGCCTGGGGGCTGTGCTGGGGCTGGACCCCATGTATTGACACTCTAGCATTGTCCTTGCTCTGCCCCACCAGCCCCTGGGTGCCTCTTTTCTCCCCTGAGACCAGCACCACCCTGTGCCTTTGCTTCAAGGCGTGGATACAGGCTGAGTGAGTGCATCTGCAGCAGGCAGAGACGCTGCCCAGCCTTTCCCAGCCGCTCGGGGAGCCGTGCAGCTGCTCTCCAAGAACAGCAGGTTTCTCAGCAGAGCAATTGTCCTGCTGGACCCAAGCCTCGTGGGAGGCCTCTGTGCCAGCATCTGCCTTTGCCCCCCTTTGCTAGATCCAACAGGGATTTCTCCGGGGAAGAAGGATGCATAGGCTGGGAAGGGCTGAGCAAAGCAGTCCCCTGCTGCAGGCTGCCTCTGGCACGATGCAAACGGCATCTAAGTCTAGTCACAGGCAGCTCCAGGGACCCCCCCTGCCCCCAGAGCAGCAATGCCCACATCAGCACCTGGCGAGATGGCTCCAGGCCTTGCTAACGCCCCTCTGAACCAGTGCCTCCGTGACCCGGGGAGGAAAGCAGGATGGCAGAGGCTTTGCAGTCCCTTTATTGGAAGGGTCTTTGCACAACGATGGTGGACACGGGCTGACGTTCCTTACAGCTCTTCCTGGGCTTCCTGCGTCCCCTTTACCAAGTGTTTCTTCTGGGGGCCCTAAAACAAGTGGAAACGAGAGAATCGTAGAAAATTTGGGTTGGAAGGGACCTCAGGAGGTCACATCTAGTCCAACCCCCTGCTCCAAGCAGGACCAGCCCTAACTACATTATCCCAGCCAAGGCTTTGTTGAGCTGGGTCTTCAAAACCTCCAAGGATGGAGACTCCCCCACCTCTCTAGGTAACTCGTTCCAGTGCTTCACCACCCTCCTCGCGAGAGAGCTTTTCCTAACATCCAACCTCAATTTCCCAAGGCCTCCCCAGCCCACCCCAGAACCAGCTGTTTGCTTGGCAGGAAGCCTGCCAGGGCTAGAAACCTTTGCTGCTGGGGCAGGCAAGCTGGGGGAAGATGGAGCAGTGCAGGCACCGTGCTCATCTGTTTGCCCAAAGCATTAAACCTGCAGTACATGGATGGGGTTTTGTGGCTGGTCCTCCTGCCCTTCAGCTAAATTAGTTGTGCTCGTGTGAGTTTAACCAGTGGTGAGCTGGACTGCTGTCTGGGGGACACGTGGTGCTGTGCCTGCTGAAGAGCTGCCCACTGAATAACTCATCAGCTTCCCCTTCAGCTCACCACGCTAGCACAGGGTGATGGGGCCACCGCAAACCTAGCTGGGGAACGTCTCGGCACGCTGGGTTAAAACTTGTTCCCTGTTTTACATGTAAAGGACCTGACTTGGGGTTTTGCAAAATCCCCAGGCTCACGGCCGATGTTGATGCTTTGAAAAAACACAGAAGCGATGAGTGTGGTGCACTCAAGCCCTCTCACTGCCAGGGTGAGAGGTGCCACATGTCCAGCAAGATGCTGCCAACATAACTGCTGGCTGAACGCATCCCACTGAGCGTGCAAACGGGTTCACCATACGGTACGGCATTTCCTGGCTCTGGCTGGCACGGATACTTTCCCAGCTGCCGTGTTCCCCCTTTGCAGACTTCCTGATGGCAGAGCTGACACATCTGTCTCTGAAGCAAGACAGTGCTGGATGCTACTTTTACTATTGGGACCACGTGCTCAGCGGAGAGTCGGGGCCAGGACTGTACAGACAGCCCAGGACACCACTCACCATGAACGCTCTCTTCTCCTGCGCCGTCTGGAAGCAGCCGTGGCCGAACTTGGACGTGGTATCGATGAACTTCAGCTCAACGGCTTCCAGCTCCCGGCGTTTTGTGTGAACCAGAAGGGACTGGAGGGAGGGGGAGACAACACGCATCAGGCTCATGTTTAACCAGACACAGGAATACAAGATTTGCCTGGGGCAGAGCTTCTCAGGCATGCCCACCAGCCAGTGACACTCAGCTGGTCGGTGGCTTCTGCAGGGAAGAGACCCAGGATGGTGGGAGTCCACGTGCCACCACATCTCCAGTCCTTGGAACAGCAGTGACGACCCAGCTCATGGGGCAATTTGCCTCCTTCAAATTACCCTAACCCTAACACCTCCCAGACCCGCAGATGTTGACCTCAAAAGGCAGCTCCATTCCCAGCAGGGGATTGTGCCAGATAGACCCACTCCAATTAATGGCAAAGCAGCTGCCGGGCAGATGAGACCCCAAGAAAGTCAGGCCGAGGAGAATGGTCTGGTCACGAAGACCAGCCTTTCTGGGAAACAGCCCCCAAGCCACGTCCTTATGGGGCTCCCACAGTCCGCTGCTCCCCAAGGTGTGGACTCATCTCCAGTGGCAGCCTCACCTTCCTGAGAGTCAGCACCCGCTTCTTGGTGCCCACCACGCAGCCCTTCAGCATGATGAAGTCATTGTTCACTTCGCCGTAGTGAGGGAATCCTCCCTGCGGACGTGAGCAGAGGGATGGTTCACAACAGCCCCCAGGCAGTGACACCTTCTGTGGCATGTCTGCTGATCACCGGGAAGAATAACCCATAGTGGCCTCAAATCCATCTTATTGTCCACTGTCACCCCCGGGTCCCTTTCTGCAGAGCGGCTGCCCAGCCTGTCCTGGTGCAGGGGGTTGCTCCGTCCTAGTGCAGGACTTTGCACTCGTCCTCGGTGAACCTCAGGAGATGTCTTTTGGCCCAATCCTCCAATTTGTTGAGGTCTCTCTGAATCCTAGCTCTACCCTCCAACATATCTACTACTCCCCCCAGCTTGGTTTCAGCCGGAAACTTGCTGAGGGTGCACTGCATCCCATCTTCCAGATCATTAATGAAGATATTGAACAAAACCGGCCCAGGACCGACCCCTGGGGCACTGCACTTGATACCAGCTGCCAACTAGACATTGAATCATTGATTACTGCCCATTAAGCCTGACAATCCAGCCAGTTTTCTATCCACCTTACAGTCCATTCATCCAACCCATACTTCCTCAGCTTGCTTGCAAGAACGCTGTGGGAGACTGTATCAAAAGCCTTTCTAAAGTCAAGATGATATTATATATAATGATAAGGAAGGAGGTTGGAGTTGGGGGCAAGGACCCATGAGTGGAAAAGGAAAACGATCTGGAAAAAGCCCTTCCCAAGGAGCAATTAAGAGACCAACCCAAGGCAATGCATTGCAGTGGGGGCAGAGCCGTGGCCTCCCAGTGCCAGCCCAGCACTGCCTGCGTCTCCAGCCCCATTACCAGCGGCGTGACGGTCTTCTCGGTCACGTCGTAGTTGGTCGAGGCATTGTTCTTCACCACCTTGCCGTCCTCTACGTGGACCCCGCGGCCGACGCGGTAAATCTAGTGGGGAGCCCGAGGGGAAGAGAGTTAATGCTTTAATGTCTTCTCAGCAGGCGTGCCACAAATTAGCCCTGCACCCTCCCCAAGTGCTACTGTAATCCCCTTCCACTGCCCGAACTGCTGCTCTGCTTTCTGCTCCCTGCCCTATGCTTCTTGAGCTGCTGCTCCACTTTCTGCTCCCTTCCCTATGCTCCCCGACCAAGCTGCTGCTCTGCTTTCTGCCGCTGTGTGTCTTGTCCCATCCCCAGCCTGCACAGAAGCTGCCCGGACCACAGGTCAGCCCTCCCCCCAAAACCACAGTCACAAGCCACGTGTTGCAGTGATGGCACGCTGAGCACCGACAGGAGGCTGAGCTGCCCGGAGCAGACTCTGGACAGACTGCCCAGCCCCACCATGGCCTAAGTCATGGGGGATACAGGCATATGCACCCCAGGGCCCGAGGAAGCCTCTGAAATCACATGTGCTACTGAGAGAGGGGCAGAGGGAGGCTAAATGAGGGGAGCAGGCTCTCTGGGCACCGGACCTTCTTGTTGAGCTCCGTGCGATGGTGGTAGCCTTTCTGGCCGGCCCGGGCGATGGAGTAGCCAACCCGGGCTGGGTGCCAGGCTCCAATGCAGGCAACTTTGCGTAAGCCTTTGTGGGTTTTCCTCGGGAGCTTCTTGGCGTGCCACCGGCTTGTCACCCCTGGGAGAGACGGGACGAGAGGGGCCCTCAGGGGCTGAGGAGCCGGAGACCAAAGTCCTGCTTGCACTCTGCCAGTCTCGTCAGGCTGTGACGTGTTCCCCCTGCCCTTGTACACCTGCGTAGGCATGCACACACGCATGCACATGTGTGCATGCACACACACGTATGCATGCACATGCACACACACAGGCTTTGCTAGCAAGGCAGGGGCTTTTTTGGTCTTTGTCTCATCGCTTGTGGCTTCACCCAGGATCCGGCCTCCTCCATGAGGCACACAGAAGAGCCCCAGCCCCGTGGCCCCGTGAGGAGCTGGCAGGGCAGAAATTTGGCAGCTGCTCACAAGCCGTGGCTGGGCTGCAGCATGTGGGAGAAGCTTGCTCCGGGGACCAGACCCTGGGCCGTTCTTCCATTCTCCGGGCCAGCAGAAGCCGCAGCCCTACAGCCATCGCCAGCTGACAACAGCAAACCATCAGGGAGGGAGCCAGGCACTGGGGCTAACCAGCAAGCACCCACAGAGCTTTTGCCCCCTCCTAACAACCCCTCATGGTTCATTGGCAGAGGAGCAGAAGCTGTGCCCCAGTCACAAGAGACGGTGGGATAACGATTATTCCCAGTCGTGCTAAGTGCTTTCTTCAGATCCTGAAGCAGCGGATACCTGGCAGTCCATATGGCTGCCTAGGTCTCACAGAGGGTAAACTGAGGCAGAGACAGGCTGCCCAGAGCCACGAGGAGCATTGGTGTGAGCGGTGGGATCGTAACTCCAGTCTTCCTCTGGCCACTAGATAACGGCTGCCCCCGCGGCACCCCTGCGCGGCGTGTCCATCCTAACTCGCCGCATGCTGAGCGCCCCGTACCTTTCATCCCGCGCCCCTTGGTCACCCCGATGACGTCGACCAGCTCGTTCGGGCTGAAGACCGTGTGCACGGAGACCTGCTTCTCCAGCCTCTCGCGCACCCAGTCCACCTTGTCAGCCACCGTTCCTCCGTTCAGCTGGATTTCCAT